GCTCCATCTATTGGCGGGGAGCGACACCTGCTCGAAATCCCACACAAACCCATCCTGGTCCAACGTTCTCCAAAACTGTCGTACTCTCTGCCGATCTCTTCTAGGTCTCACACCCCCCCACTTCTGCTGGGTTACAGGGCAACGCAGCTCACCCCAGCTCCGGCCAGCGTCGTCCCGGCAGCAACCCTTGGTTAGCAGCAGCAGAGATGGTGGCTCTGCTGCAGTCAGTCTTGCCGGAGTGAGGTAAAGTGGATTGATGGGGGGGGGTTTCGAGTCGTTTCGGAATTTTGCTTAATCATGAAGTTGTCATAGACATGTCTGAAGTAGCTTCATTTTCTCCGAGTCAAAGCCGGGTAGTGGCCCCCGTATCTCATGTCCCAAAATGCCATCCTTAGGCCAATTAGATTTTCTAGTAGTTCCTGGAAGCTTTCTGAACGTACTTGTTATGGGACGCTGGGCCCGGTTCCCAGTTCGTGCCGATTTGTGAGGATATGGTTGTATCTATGGGACGCTGGACCCGGTTTCCAGCAGGTGCTGCTCCCCACCAATAGATGGAGCTTGGTTTAAAACAAAACAAAACGAAAAAGAAAAGAAAGAAAACCAATCCTCTTTGCCAGTGGGATCTGGCCCTTAGTCTGATCCCTCGGGCGAGGTCCCACTGGCAAAGAGGATTGGATTACGCGCCTGGATCTGCATGGGTTTTAAGCAGAGATGCAAAGAAGCAGATCACTCTGATTTCTTGTTCTTTTTTTTTAAATCCTTTTTTTTATTTTAAAGGCTCGGTCTTGAGATTTCATCATTGAGCTGACCGGCCCCAGGCAATTCAGAAATATTTGGCTTCATCAGGTTCCATCATCTGGGTTAGAATTTGGGTCTGTATTTCAACAGTTCAATGGTGTACCCACTGAGCTAAGGCTCTTGGGTACTCTGATTTCTTCACCTCTCCACAAACATGTCCACACTCACTTGTTAAATCCAATCCTCTTTACTACTGGGGCCTACCCCCTAGAGAGGGGGAGGAAAACATTTTGGGGAGCCCCAGCCCCCCCTATCTTTGCCTGTTTGAAATCCTATTACTGTGTGGGATATAGACCAGATATTATCATAGTGAAGACCTGCTAATGAATTGAAAAAAGAAAAAAAAAAGAAAGAAAGTCCTGCTAATGGATTCAGTAATAATGAATTACTAATTGTACTAATAATAGTATCCCATCATTTCCATGTTTAAGGGGGGGGGGGGGAGGTGGTGGGCACAGTCCCACTTGGCTGGATTATACAAGCAGAGGAATAAGGGCCAAGCACACAGCATCTGGGTGAGTGGGGTCATGTCCCCAGCATAAATCCCTTTCAACTGTTAAAAAATGAAAAAAGAGACAACTACGGCGCAGTCAGGGTTACAGTTTGTGATTGCATTTCAAACTGCATCTTAGCAGTTTTTTAAGGGTCTCGCTCCACTACTATCTGCTGTACGATTTCAGATAGTAAGTCATCGCTCCACTTACTATCCGAAATCCACCTTCGGAAATCACCGTATGGATGTCAGATGGCGCCCTCCGGATTCACCATGCGATCCCGTATAGTTCACAGCCTGCAGAAGTCGTTACTCGGAGGGTGGTCGAAGGAGGCCGGCGTAGCATCGCGCAATCGTATGGAGAGCCTGAAGTCTGGGCCAACAAATTGATGTCTTGTAGTGCTGCGAGAGTGTTTTGTAGTGAACTCCAAAATTGGAGACTCGGATAGCGGATAGTAAGTGGAGCGACACCAGGTTTTTTTTGCTCTGACAGCTATACGTCCGCTATACGAAATTTCGTACAGCAGATAGTAGTGGAGCGAGACCCCTTTTTTAGTTTAGCAGTTCAGACAGGCACGTGGCCCCTTTTTTTTTTTTTTTTTTCTCTCTTCGGTCAGGTGGCGGGGCCACCGCAGAGATGTCTCGGCCACCGAGAGATAAAAAAAAAAAAAATAAAAAAAATGCATCTCCTTGTGTGGCGGGAAGGGGGCAAAAAAAAAAAAAGAAACAACAACGAAAAAAAGGAAAACAAAAAAGGGCCACGTGCCTGTTTGAACTATTAAAAAAGGCCAGCTGTAGTTTCAACTGCATTTGAAACTCGGGCCCTGACGTAAAAAACTGCTAAAACGCAGTTTGAAATGCAATTACAAAAAAAAAAAAAAAAAAAAAAAAAATGTAATCCTGACTGCGCTGTAGTTACCCGAGAAAAAAAAGAACAAGAAGAAAAGGGAAAAAAAAAAAAAAAAAAGGTAAAAAAGGGGAAAATTTTCAAAAAATGAAAAAAAAAAAGGAAAAGAAACTGTTTGAAATCTGAGTACCGTTAGGATATACATTTGGATAGCATCATATCACAGATCTTCCTTTTCGTTTTCAAGATTTTGTTTTGCCCCTTGTGCATATTTAGGAGGCGGAGAAGGGAAGGAAGAAAGGGGAGGGAGGGAGGTGTATTGCCAGACCACCTCCTACCCTCTACTCGGTGGAATCTGATCCTTTTTTTTTGGGGGGGGGGTAGGGAGCGGGGGTGGGTGGGAGGTAATTACGGCGCAGTCCCCTTTTTTTCAGTTATAAATCCACTTCAGGCATCCCCCGTCGAATACAACACATCCCCACCCAGCCCTACAGCTGGGTTGGATACAATCACTTCGGAGCAAAATTCGTGAAACCGTGACTGAAACGCATTTAACCTTTTTTTTTTTTTTTTTTTTTTTTAATCCCCTCTACTCTGTTCCAAGGACAGATCAGGGGCAAAGTCCCACTTGTCTAGATTCGTCGTTCTTGTTCACTGGTCTTCGTATCTTCATAATCTGTCGTCAGAAATGCCGAATCAAGGCAAGTGGGATCTCCCCACCTAGATTTCCCTAGTAATCATTAGGCTCTTAAATTTCAGTAGTTGATTGACATCNCCCTTCCCTCCACAAGTCTCTTTACCCCTCCTCAAATAAATTCCAGTTTGTCTTTAATTGTTTGGACCCTACTGTTTGGCGCTCCCACCCTCGTACTATAATCAAGCATCAATCACAAGGATGCCCCGTGGGTCCTCATTATAGTGCAGATTATGCCGTTATGTATAGAAACAAAAAACAACCTGGTGGGGTACTTGGGGCAGTTATCTATCTTTTCTGTTGTCCTCTTCTGTTTTTAACAAGGGATTGTGATGATGTTAATATTTTTTAATCTCATCAATAGCCGTATTATGGAGTTAGGTTGAACGTCTGAGCGGCACTGAATAGGTGCTGGGTTCAAAACCCCCTGCCATTACTATCAGTAGCCTGAGGATGGCAGAGGGTGAGTTGCGCGACCCTGTTACCTGTCGTAGGCTCGTAGCTATGAGGGAGCATGAGGCCCGGTAGAGAGAGATCTGGGGGAGTGGCCTGCCTCACACCAGGTAAGACAGGCGGTCAAGCACATGGTGGGGAAGGCCTCCTTCCTGAGGTCCTACTGTAGCGGCCGGTTGGGGGCGGCATACCCAATAATTTTTTTTTCTTTTCTTTTTGGGAATACCCAAGAATTCTGTGGTTGAGTTGTAGTCAGAAGCATCCTTTATTTTTTCTTTTTTCCCCCCCTAAAAGTCCAGGATGTTGTAGAGGCCAGTTACTAGGCTCACATTGATCGCCGGAAGCTGTCTGCTGTGGTTGCCCTGAAGAGACAAGGCAGAAGCATCTTCGCTGACATCCGTGGCCCAATTATGATGCCTACGGTAGCAGCGTTGAGACTTTCCATTTACCAGGGAATACCTTTTTGCAAGGAAAATGACCGATAGCGAATTCCAGAAACCAAGCAGCATCATACACATGAAACCAGATAGTCGTGACCTCGAACCAAAAGCAGAATTGCAGCTCGAGTTCCACCAAATAAGAGCACAGCAGAAGCTCACAAGTGACAATGTTGGAATAGTCTCATCATCATCAACAAAGAACCAATGTTGACATCCTATCTGGCGCTCTGCGCCCAGACTACAAATGGCAGATCCTATCTAGCCTATCTACAATGCGGCTGGTGACGTCAACAGCTCCCCGAAGTACGAGCAGATCTCGGCCAATGCCGTTCGCCTCAAGCACCAGGTATGTCTCTCGCATCACTCACGACCTCTATCCCCCACACAGATGCCACGTACACCCAGGGACCACCATGCACCCCATCCAGCACCTCGCAGGCCAGCTTGGCTATGGCTGCCTGCGTGTCCCTTGCTCGCCCGTGAGCGCATGGGCGCTTGCCTGCCAATAGCGCAGCAGCGCTTGCGCAGCATGTAGCAAGTGCCCCAATGCCCAATGCGGAGGCAGACAGTTTCCTATATGGAAATGGCCTGCCTGCTACGTGCTGCCTGGCTGCACTGGGCCCCTGCCCAGAAGCTCCCGGTAGGCCCCAAGTGGCTGAGCCCCAGTCCAGGGGAATCAGGCACAGGGCCTGGGGCGGTTACCCGTGTCCAACTGCCAGCGGCCTGTGTACAGTCCGTGCCCCGTGTCTAGCCCAGAGCCTGCCTCAGATACGTTTGAAAAAGGCAGGCAGGGCCTGGGTTCTCTCAACCAACTGGCGCTGCGCAACTGCCTGAATTTCCCAGTTGCATGGAAAGCCCAAAATGAGCCTCTCGTCCTTGGTCGGGCCTGCCTTCACTTAGGGCGGCCGACATTGCTGAAAACAGGGCCCAGTAGGGCTCGTCGTTGCCTTGAGCCTCACATTCCCTCCTCCATACTTCGACAGTCCTCCGAGAAGTTCAATTACTCACTCTGGCGCTTTCCTTTCTGCAATAACTTCTCGTAGTGAGCGACAGCCTGTGCAGCGTTCCGCATCAGTTCCTCCCGGGTAAACCATCTGTCCTCCTTAGGATCAGTGTGATGTCTGAACTGAACGCGATATTGCAGCTTTTGCTTAGGAGGACGTCCCCTGCCTGTCGGTCTTGGGACTGGCATTTCTCTGTAGTCCTCGATGTCGTCGATGTCGACCTCTCTGTCCATGGTTGGGGGCAGCATTGAGCGACGCGAAGGAAACTGATCAGTTTCCTCAAAAGGTGCGAGCTTGGAGGCGTGAAAAACAGGGTAGGTGCGAAGGTGACTTAGGATCCAGATTACATATCACGGCCCGCCCGGATCATCCCCAACAATGTCTAGAAACTCCCATGGCCCGAAGTACTATGGCATGAGCTTGTGGGAGATCCCATGCTTTTGTCTCAGTTGAGAGGCTTTGACCCAGATTCTGTCCCCTACCTGGAATGTAGATGAGCGGTGATGCTTGTTCTCAGACTCTATCATTGCCACCTGTGCTTTGTGCATCTGCTCTACAGCTTGCTGGATCAGGCATTCATATCGATATGCAAATTCTAATGTGCCCGGTGCAGCGGTCGGCTGGTTTTCCGGTGGAAGAAAGTCTACGGGCGGTCTAGGCTTGAAGGTTAGCAGCAGGCTATTAGGACTCACCCCTGTTGCGCTGTGTACAACGTTGTTATACAGAGTGGCAATGAGAGCAAGTTTCTCATCCCTGTCCACCTGGTTAGGCTTGATATAATGCCTCAGCAGGTGTTGCCCACCGCGGTTCAGCTGCTCTGCTTGCCCGTTTGCCTCTGGGTGGTTCCCAGAAGTCATCTGCAGTTGTGTTCCCTGTTCTGCAGCTGCAGCCTTCCATAACTCACTAGTGAATCGGACATCCCGGTCACTCACAATAGACTTTGGAAGCCCAAAGTCTCTGACCCAGTTCTCTTTGAATAGTCTAATCACGTATTTCGTCTTTGCTGTTTCATGCATTGCGACTAACCTAGCATACTTACTAAACCTATCTACAATGACGAAGATGTGTCTCATTCCACTCTTGCTGGTGACCAGCGTGTCCATGAAATCCATGGACAGGCTTTCACCGGGCCTTTCCGGAATCGTAAGGGGCTTAAGAAGCCCAAGAGGGGCTTGTGTACGTGGCTTGTCTCTCTCGCAGACTTGACAAGTCTCCACATACAACTTGGCATCTCTCATCAGTGTGGGCCACCAGAACTGCTGCAGCAAATTGGCTGCAGTTTTCTTATAGCCAAAATGTCTGGTGGCGTCATGACACTCTCCTAAGAATAAGCTACGCAAAGACTCCCGATTAGGCACACACAAACGTTTAAACCCGGACTTCTCAAGGAACAGCAGGTCATTGACCATTACAAACTCGTCAGAAGTAACTTTATCCTTCGCTTTAAGTCTGTGTATGATCTTTGACATAAACGAATCCTCGTGATAGGCTTCCACCAGGGACTGAGTAACATCGTCCACAAGCACAAACTCAGTGATCAGCGCACCCAGGAAGTCTGGCCTACCGGACAACACATCAACAACTTTGTTATACTCCCCTTTGATGTACTGGGGTTCGAAATCATACTGCTCAATGACTTCGATCCAGCGTTTCAGCGCACCGGAGAGCATAGGCTGGGTTCTCATCCACTTCAGGGTTTGATGATCAGTCCTGACGTAGAAGAACCTCCTAGGGAGGTAGTGCCTCCGGTGGGTTAGCGCTTTGAAGATCGCATAAGGCTCCTTCTCATATGTGGACTTAGCCAACTTCTGAGAGGGCATTTTTTTGGACATGTACTCGACTGACCTCAACTTTGGCCCCTCCTGCTGCGCAAGCACGGCACCAATGCCATATTGGCTCGCATCCGTGATTACTATGAATGGCTTGTCAGGATCAGGAAGTTTCAAAACCTCATGGTGTGTTAAGGAGTGCTTCAGATGTTTGAAAGCAGCCTCACACCTGTCTGTCCACTCCCACGGGGTGTCAAGGCGTGTCAGGTCCGTCAAAGGGGAGGCTACTATGCTATAGTTCTTCACAAAGTTATGGTAGTAGCCGATCATCCCTAAGAGGGACCTCATCTTAGTCACAAACTGAGGACGCGGCCAGTCACGAATGTTGGTCACCTTCGCGTCATCAGTGTTCAATCCCTCCGCAGAAATCTCATGACCCATATACAAGATACGGGTGTGACCAAACTCGCACTTCTCCTAATTGATCTTGATCTAGTGCTGCCGAAGGAGGCTAAGGACTTTATCTAAATGGCCAACATGCTCCTCGACAGTCCTATTAAAGATAAGTATGTCATCGAGGTACACGATGACAAACTTGTCCAAGTAGTCATGAAAAATTTGGTTCATGGCGTGCTGAAAGGTGCCAGAAGCATTCCAAAGGCCGAAAGGCATCACCACAAACTCGTACAGGCCGTACCTGGTCTGAAAAGCGGTTTTGTGTTGATCCTAGGGTCGTATTGCAATCTTTTTTTTTTTTTTTTTTAAATAGACCGCTCACAACAACAGATAGGAGTGATGATAAGAGCATGCACTCCTACCTGTCATGCAAGGAACTCGATTTTATTGGTGGGGAGCTGCACCTGATGGAAACCGGGTCCAACGTCCCTTGAACAAAGATAGCCATAGCATATGCTGAGAACCGGGCCCAACTTCTGTCATGGTGTTCCTGATAACCGTAAGAAAAAGGAGAAAAACTGGGTGCCTCTTCAGTCCATTAAAAGAACACCAGATAAAGAAAAACAAACTAAGCCCCCAAGTTTCCTTTGATGAAGTGCAGATCCAAAAAACCAAAATGGTACCCGGACTTGAGATCTATCTTACTGAAGCTATGAATCCCCCTCGGCGGCAGCCATCTGCGGCCAAGTCCGCGGCCGCGGCCTAGGCCGTGACCCCACGGATGAGTCCGCGCGACCGTGCGGCCTTTGCGGCCGCATAGCGGCCAGTGGGGAGGGGGGTTCGGGATTCGGGAAGCGCCATGGGGCAGCGCATCCCCAACCCCACCCCCTCAAACCAAAAAAAAAAAAAAAAAATATTTTTTTTTGGGGGGGGGGGGGGGGAGAGAAGGAATTTCAAAAAAAATAAAAATGAAAAAGAAAACAGCGTTGTTGTTGTTGTTGATTGATTGGTTGATTGATTGATTGATTGATTGATTGATTGACTGATTGATTGATTGGTTGATTGTTTGGCCCCACAGGGGCACACACACACACACAGATAGGATTGTATATTCTCATGTTCTAGCCGAAGATTCATTCCATTTTGCTTTTTTTTTTTCCGTTGATTGATTGATTGATTGATTGGTGGGGGCGGGGTCGCCCCCCCACCCCCCACAGGTGCACACTCACACACACACACAAGCAGTATTGTATATTTCCATGTTCTAGCGGAAGATTCGTTCGATTTTTTTTTATTTTTTTTTTCCATTGATTGATTGATTGAGTAATTGATTGATTGATTGATTAATTGATTGATTGATTGATTGATTGATTGAGTGGTGGGGGAGGGGTCGCCCCACCCCCCCGCCACCCACCACGCTCCCGCACGCACACACACACACAGACACACACACTCAATCAGTTTATGTCTGTCAGTCTTTCTCCTGTTGTCTGTCCTCTATGCGTTTTTTTTTCTAAGTATCTTTCTGTGCGCCCAACTGAGCACCAAACAGTCGGTGGTTCCTCGTTTGGAGTGCCAATTGCACTCTTAGGGGGGCTGCTCGGTTCGGGATGTCTGTGTTGCCTGTCGGTGATGACGTATGGTCTTCGGAGTGTCCCCCTGGCTCAACGGCTGGTAAGAACCAACAGTCTGCGGGGTTCTATCGTGATGTGAGTAGGTCATGTGTTGCTTTGCTCCGTGTTGGATGTGTAGACTGTTTTGTCTGCGCTCTGTCGCGGTCTTGCTGCCCGTGCCGCTTGCTTTGCAGGTCGTCCTCGCTGCTCTGCTGCCTTGCCGCTTACCTGCGGGTCGTGCCTCCCGTGTCTTTTGCTCGCGTGCCTTGTGGTTTGGTAGCCTTGTGGTGGTGCCTCGCGCTTCGCTGCAAGGTTGCTGAGCTGCTTGTCCGTGTGCCCTGTCGGCCTTTAGTGTCCTTTGGGTGCATGCCTTGTGGTTTGGTTGCCTTGTTGGTGGTGCCTTGTGCTTCAGTGCACGGTTGCCGAGCTGCTCGTCCGCTTGCCCTGCTGACCTTTTGCGTCCCTTACTTGCTTGTGTGCCTTGTAGTCTGGTCGCCTTGCTGATGTTGCCTTGCGCTGCAGCACACGGTTGCTGAGCTGCTGGTCCGCTTGCCCTGTCATTCCTTGCAGTCGTCTTTGGCGATAAGCAGTTGGGCTGCCTCTACTGTGTTGCCTGGTGCTCCACAGGGTTGCTGCCCGCTGCTATGTCCCACTTGGGGACAATCTGCCTTCAACATGGGTCAAAGGGTTCATGTCCCAAACCATCAAATACGGGGATTTAGGAGATTGTCGAGGGTTCAGCCTCCTAATGAGTCGGTGCAATTCCGATGAAACAATCTTGTTGTCATCAGTTTCTATTTTTTTCGGTCCTTTGACTTTCTTAGGACTTGTATTTTTTTCGGTTTGCCTGTTTCCGTCGGTGCTAGTTGTTTCTCAGTTCACTGTCTTTGCCTCGTCTTATCGTGTTTTTGTGCCCGCCCGCCTCCCCCGTGCGCACCAGCTTATGTGTTTTGTTGTTGCTTGTCATCTACGTGCCTCGTACGTCTCCTCAGTGTGCCTCGCTTCTCTGGCAATCGTGAATGCACACCCTGTTACGCTGCTCGTCGCGTTTGCGGGGCTCTGGTTATCTCAACACACGCAGACGATTATCGTCATTTTTCCGCAGGGATGTTTGATCCCTCCCTGCCTTGCGGTTGTCTGAGGTGTGCTAGTGCGAGCCTTTTGGGTTCAACATCCTCTGCCCGTAGCACCATCTTGGGTGAACTATTCTTTAACCTTTATGAGGTGTATGTGTATGTTTGTATGCGCGTGCGGAGTCCATGGCGCACCGGGCTGAATGGCCTAGTGCCCAAGAACACTAGTCCATCCGGCCTTCCCCATGGAGGGTATGTGGGTGGGAGACTCCTACAAACGAAACTATTCTATTTGACTAGTCCGCAAACAGAAAACAAATCTGCAGGAAACAGTTCTCCCTATGTTGTCTGTCATATGTTAATGGTTGTACATCTAACTAATCAAAATAAAAATAGAATCATTTGATTAGTTGTTGGCAGAGTGGAATTGTTCCTTAATTTATCACCTGAAATCTCCCCCTCCCTCAATTCTTCTTGAGTGTCACTTGACGTTAGCGTCCCTGAGCAATCCAGATAGTGTGCGTGTCTAAAGGTGTGCAGTGCCACACGGCCCACCCCTGTGCCTCGAGTTGATGCTGAGCTGGTCAGCCCTACACCATGTTTACCCTCGCGTGCAGCGAGCCTTACACCGACCGATTGACTGATCAAGAGGCATTTAAGGACGGCCCCCGAAGTCCTCAGGAATTATTTAACGTCGCAGACAGGACGACGATCATAACCAATGGAAGGTAACCCTGTCGGTACTTATTTATAGACGTCCGGTCCTCGTCTCCCCTGTAGGGCTGGCCTGCCCCTCATAACCCATCTACAGCGCAGCAGGCAGACAAAGGACAAAGCAGCAAAGCATGCGTGCTCTACTCCCAGTAGGTTGGCGTGGTGACCATGACCCAATGCTTCGTCCCGGACCCTTTAGCTAGCTCCGCCCTCTCCTTCCAGATGCTCCCCGACTCTCAAGGTTGAGCGCACTCGACTCCTCATATGAGAGGACTCTCAAGACATAACACACATCCTCACGGTAAGAAGCGTAGAAGAGGGTAGATACGGTTAAGAGCAATGTACCTCAAAATAGCTTCCCCCAACCACATAGATTCTCACCAGATGACTTGACGCTGATTGTGATGACCAATCATTGCCTCGGCACAACCAGCATTACACCGCCGTTCCACCTCAGCATCACTCGTACATCAGATAGTTCTCATCACACTGCCAACACTCAAATACCACGTCGTAGCCTTCCTGGCGATACCCCTCACCTTCGGGGTCGCCTGCTTGCCTTCGCCTTCCTCACTACACACTCCCTACGGCCGCTCACCCAGCAGACCGCATGCATGTACCGCATAGGCAGAAGACAAGCGCCAGATTAGCGCAACGTACCACAGCTCCGATACCAAATTGCAAGGAAAATGAGCGATAGCGAATTCCAGAAACCAAGCAGCATCACCTCGAACCAAAAGCAGAATTGCAAGTCGAGTTCCACCAAATAAGCGCACAACACAAGCTTGCAAGTGACAATGTTGGAATAGTCTCATCATCATCAACAAAGAACCAATGTCGACATCCTATCTGGCGCTCTGCGCCCAGACTACAAATGACAGATCCTATCTAGCCTATCTACAATGCCGCTGGTGTCGTCAACAGCTCCCCGAAGTACGAGCAGATCTCGGCGAATGCCGTTCGCCTCAAGCACCAGGTATGTCTCTCGCATCACTCACAACCTCGATGCCCCACAGAGATGCCACGTACACCTAAGGACCACCATGCACCCCATCCAGCACCTCGCAGGCCAGCTTGGCTATGGCTGCCTGCGTATCCCTTGCTCACCCGTGAGCGCGTGGGCCAGTGCCGTACCCCTGTTCACCATTCACAGGGTTCGTGAATGAAGGCCGGTCACCGGTCACGATTTTCGTGACCCGGTCCGGCTGTAGTTCATGGAGTTCATGGTGAGCGGGAATTTTTTTATTTTATTTTTTTGGCTGGGGGGGTTGTTTTTTTTTTTGCGCAGGTGTGTTGATGGTGTCCATGGGCACCTGCCTATTTTTTTATTTATTTTTTTCCCGAAAGGATTTTTTTTTTTTAATTAAAAAAAAAAAAAAAGTCAAATTTTCCAAAATCGATTTTCACTTGTGTTAGGCATGCCATTTGTTGGCTTTGGAGCAGTTTTTGGGTCTGTGGGCCACGCCCAGGGTGTTGTTTCGACCGGAGGCACCCCGCCATGCCATTATGGAAGCAGAATCCCCCCAAAAAAAAACGGTCCTGTTCTCGCCGTTGGCCGTTGCCAGCCGATTGGGTTGCTGGTGAAATGAAGCACCATGTGGCGTGCGCCCTGTTACCCTGTATCATGCGCGCAAATGAGAGAGAGAGAGAGAGAGAGAGAGAGAGAGAGAGAGAGAGAGAG